AGAGAGAGAGACAGAGACTGAGAGACAGAAAGAGAGAGAGAGACAGACAGAGACAGAGAGAGACAGAGTCTGAGAGACAGAGAGACAGAGTCAGAGAGACAGAAAGAGAGAGAGAGACAGAGAGAGACAGAGACTGAGAGAAACAGAGACAGAGTCGGAGGGACAGAGAGAGAGAGAGACAGACACGCAGAGAGAGAGACAGAGAGAGACAGAGACAGAATCGGAGAGATAGCGAGAAAGAGAGACAGAGACAGAGAGAGAGACAGAGAGAGGGACAGAGTGAGAGACAGAGAAACAGAGAGAGGGAGGGAGAGAGAGAGAAAGAGAGAATTGGAGTTAAAAATCAGCTGGAAAGGCAGAAAGGGGACAGGAAAAGACACCTGGGCTGCATATCTGAAAATACAAATGATCTCCTTTATCTGGACTGGCAGGGAATTTAGACACACCCCTTTAAGCCCAGGATAAAAGTCTAGGACTTTGGAGGCTGAAATCTGCAAAGCAGGCTCGGCTCCAGCTGGATTTGATCTCCTCTTCTTAGTCCTTCTGGTAGGGGCCTTCAGCATGAAGACCTCCTTCTCTTTCCTTCTCCTTCTGTCGGACCTGCTGGGCACGACGCTCTCCCAGGAAAGTGAGTATTGGCACGAAAGTTTATGGAGGTTCTCAGCCAGGGTTGTCCCAAAGGAGCTTTTTTCAAAAGGCAATGGGACTTTCTTGGTTTTTTCCTCGAAGACGTTTCCCTTCTCCTCCTCAGTGAAGCTTCTTCTGTTCTGAGTAAATAGTGGAGAATGAAAGGATGGATGTTCCTTGCGGTCCTCTGGTCGTTAGCACTCTCTCTGAGAGTTATTATTTATTTATTTATATTGTCAAAAGCTTATAATACAATAGAAATAAGAATAAACATAAGTTTAAATATAAGATATTGGAACTAACAATTGGGGACAAAAGGACAGGGACGGTAGGCATGTTTGTGCGCTTATGCACGTCCTTTACAAGTTGTTGAGGCCATTTGGGGGTTTATCTGTGCCCTCACCTGA